GTTCTGCTCCCCACTCTGTCTCTGGTGAAGCCTCTCACTGCCCCTGAGCCTCTGGCCTGTACCCCAGTTCTGTATGTACAAATAAAATAAATCTTAAAAAAAAAAAAATTATCACATGAAAATGTGGATGATTTTCATGGTAGCTAAAAAATGTGGGAATTTATTTATTGAAAAATATTTCATTATTTAAAAACTAGTATTTAACTTGTGTGTCTCTAAATTAAATACACAATGGATTATATTCCCTACAAAAATGTATCTTGACAACCCAGAATATGAATATAAAATATTTTTATGAATATAAAGTACTTGATATATGTGTTACAGATTAGCAAGTATACTGTACAGTAGTCAATTTACACGGCCATTCAACTCTGTAAATATAAAACAATCAGAAAAATAAGTTCTAAGCCATCCATTTAAAGTACTGCCAGAAAGTTGAGGCTTTGACTAGGCTTGTGAAAAAGTCATAAAGAAACCTGTGACACTGAGGTGGCTAGAATTCTCCATCTGAATGTTCATTTAGCAAAATTACAATCTACATTTACAGCACCTTTGCTAGGACCAAGAAAGTTAAAAGTATAATAGATCCTCTCAAGTTTGAAGTAGACCTACTAAAACATTAGTTTCAAGGCGCATCAGTCAGGTCTTGGGGACAATACTCAAACTAATACAGAGAAAATGTGTCAGAAGCCGAGTGAAGGGGGAGACCATACAGGTCTTGCATAGGATGTAGCTGTCTTAACCAGATTACAGTGGGAGTCAAAGCAGCAGCCTGCCACTTCAGCTGGAAATTTGGGAAGTTGCTTCTAAATCCACTGGGCTCCGCTGACTGAGCTGCCTTTTTCTTTCTTTTTTTTTAAGATTTATTTATTTATGTATACTGAACTGGGGTTCAGGCCATAAATGCAGGGGCGGTGAGAGGATTCACCGGAGACAGAGTGGGGAGCAGAACAGGCTGATGACGAAGTACACTGCTGAGGGGAACAGCGGGAGGGTCAAGAGCGGTCTGCCACGCCTTGTGGATCTCCTCCAGGGCAGGCGGGGATCGAACTCTCCCGGAAGTGGCTTTAGCTTCTTAGTGCTGTGCTTTAACCCGCTGTGTCACCATGGAGGGTCCCCCTCCCCCAGCTGCTTTTTAAGGGCATGCCCAGATCAGGAGCTGGTGCCTGAGTACAGAGCTTGTAGGGCAGTGTGCAGACCTGCAGCTCAACACAGCATCTCGCAAACACCAGGATGACACTGGCAAAGCTGTATCTTCCATCAACCCTGTCTGGGAGCAGCGAAGGAGAGATTTCCCAGACTAATTGGGTTGATTTTGTAGGAAAGGAGTAGAGCATTTCCAGCACATCAGATTCCTGAGAGGCTACAAGTAAGTTCTACATCTACAAGTGATGTCAGAGCCCAGGGCCCAAGGTGGAGTGACCTGGAAGAAGGTATCTTTTGTCCCATCTCCATGTACCACATGGAGGCACTAGTGAGCTACAGAGCCAACAAATGTAAACATCTCCTGGGGCTTGCCTTGGCCAAGTTGGAGTGATGATTATTAGCTCTAAAGTCTCAAACCAACACTGAGACTAATGCAATCATCACAATTATTATTCTGTAGAAACTGCTTAGCCTCAGTCTCTATGCCTTTGCTAGGACAAGAATAAGGACTAGGAGTTAATGCTGAGCAAAGGGGCAAGAATTATGTCACAGACATTGTTGGTTCCCTAGGCAAGAGTCATGTCCTCACTTCTTTTGCTAACAAAAGAGTTTTGTTGAGGTTCAGGTAGTAATATTAGGAATGGTGAGGCTGGTTGGTCTCATTTGGCCATGGAAAGCCCATTTCCCTTGCTGGTGCCTGGCTAGGCATGGGCATATGGCATAACTTTGGTAACAAAGGAGAAGGCCTGATCTTCAGAAGCTCCTGTGTGATATGATGCTTGAAGGTGGTATTTCAAACCATGGGAGAAAAACCAAAAGTCAATTGAGACTTCTGTCACTGCTCAGTCACTGAAATCACCACTCCAGAATGACCCACCTCCAAGATGGGGAGGTGGGTCACTATTGATGGGAGCTTCAGAGAAAAAAGCTTCCTTAATGGGTGAGATTATCTCATCATTAAACTTTAGAACCGGGGTACACATACTCCCCTACTAAGTCTCCTGGGACTCCTCTGAATGGTCACTGACTGGAGCTGAGGTGAGGAACTGGGGTGGGAAGGGGCAAGACTTACTCTCCACCTGGACTCTGCTGTTGCCCACTTTTGCTGAGAGACCAGCAAGTGTGTCAACTTCAAACCCAAAAGGCGAAGAATTCTAAAGAACAGCCACTCAAACTATCTTGCAAAAAAGTGTCTTTTCCTCAACCTAGGTTCTTCTTTCACATACACAAGTCTTTTATAAAGTACTAACTTCCTTTACACAGCAATGATCTGTTGACCAAAAGAACAATGGTTGAAATATTAAAATTTCAATTAATTTTGCCCCTGTAGGTAGAGAAAGTCTCTCTGAACTCTTGCGAATTGGCACAATGATCTTTAAGTTTTGAAAATTGCAAAATAAGGTACATCCTAATTCATATAACTGTTCATCTACATTTTAGAAAAAAAAAACACTGAGAGGAAGTGAGTAAAGAAACAAATATGATAATTGAAAAGCAACACAGTCTGTTGTTCTTTTAGGAAAAAATTCAAAACATTTTTTGACAAAAACAATCCATTTCCTGTTGACAGAAGACCTATTAAACCTGTTGATTATCTGTTCATTAATTATAATTATGACAGTTGCTTTGAACTAATGTGACAAGTTATTTTTATTGCTTGCCTACATTCCAACTGTCTAACTTCTATCTCAACAAATAAACACAATAAATGACAGTGGTAATGAATGTATTATGTCTAGAACTAGGATTCACAAAGCAATTCACATAAATTCAAAATGGAAAGTGATTGATTTACAAAGCTTGAATTTTGAACAAAAAGAATTTTCAACACTACAGAAAGACAACAAGGACTGGGACTGATGCATAAGTAATTCTTTTGATTAAAAGATGGTAAAAAAAAAAAGGAAGTTGGACAATTCAATTCACAGCCTAAATTTGCAAACCTTAATGCACTTGTTTCTATCACAATGCATTTACTTCTTAGCATAATATTAAGAAAAAAAAACTCTACAATTGTATTCTCATAAAAGAATCAATGAAAGGCTAACTTTCTTGAACTAACAACCTCAGTAAAGGGGAAATAATGACAACTAGCTGGAAATGATGCTCATTTTCCAAAAGTCTCTGGCTTACTTTCCATGCTTTTTCTGTCTTCCACAAACTTCTGGCTCTCCACTCAATCTCCGGGCCTTGCTAATCGCTAATTCCTTCAGCCCCATTCTGCTTCCAAGTGTCCTTGGATAACCTTTCTCTTTTCAAACAAGCCTCTGAAAATCTGCTGTCCTAGACAATACTGTGCATGTCTCCTAACTTCTTTTAGTTTTTGTAATTTCAACTGAATAACTACTCCAATTCTGCTTGGAGAACAGGTATGGGTACACTTTAAAATAATGTAAATGTACAAAAAAGCCAAAGGAAATGGTTTTTTTTTTTAAAGACTTGTTACAGACTGACCTAACTGTATCTTATGTAAGAAAATTAGCAAACACTAGCCTTTTCTTTGAAAAGTTTAAAAGATCCCCAATTAATTTCGCTCTCAATTCAAGGTGAGGGATAGGCAACTTTCCTTTTTTTATGACTTTTTTTAATACGTGTTTAAAAAAGTGAGTGGGTTATGAGGGAGGGTATGAAAAACAAATCTTTAATCAGAATTTATAGCAAATAAAATAATGTAAATAAAATAGTGTGTATTCTGAGACAATGCTAACAACATATATACATTGGTCTCCACTCTTGGTGCCTGGGACAGAGCTCCTGAAATCCTTGTAATAGCCTAGTTGACAGGAGCACTAGGAACATTTCTTGTTCTAATAGCTGTCACTGCACCATCCCTGATGCAGAGCTTCTTGTAAATTTCTAAGTGCCAACAGAGCTAGCTGATGTCGTTCTGGAGAGATGTTTGGTTCAGATAACAGGGTCTCTGGGTTAACTCTGAGCAAAGCTTCACCATAGTTCTCCTTTCAATGGCAAGTTTACCCAAAAGACAAAGACATTTGCACAGACACAGGCAGATAGAGGTTACATTTTGAAAGGACAGGTTTATTAGAAAAGAGGAGAAAGAAAAAGAGAGGCACCTGCATAGTCACAGGTGGGCAGGAGAGCTGCCTCTTGCCAATGCAGACCTTGCTCTTATATAGTCTTCTTTTGGAATTCATTCCCTTGTGGACTTTTCATCTATTGTTAAATTAATTTCTCCTAGGGTGTGATCAGAGGCTGACTGGTGATTCTCCATAATGACCCTCTATCTCCATGTCAGTCTCTGGGCTTTTCTCTAGACACTTCCTATAGCAGTCTGATACTTGCTATCATAGTGGGCACCTGCAGATTTTTCTTTTCTACAGCTGACTGAATGACTAGTTAATCATCCCTACGCCCACCTCCAGTTTCTGGACTTGTGATGCCTCCATCCTAAATTTTCTACTTGGGCTCCATTACTAGGGCTATTTTTCATTTTACTGAGGCAATTCCAGGTGGGCTTCTCCATAGGGACTGTTCACCACAGAACAAACCATGATGGTAAGTTTGGAGTCTTCAGCCCTGCTCGCCCCTCTTCCCAATTTTGCAGAGAGGGGAAATGGGCTGGGAATTGAGTTAATAATTGAGCCCACATCTTGTAAAGTTGCCATGCAATCCTACTAGTAGGGGGTTCAGAACACTTCCAGGTTGGGAAACATGAAAGCAAAAGGGTGAATCACCTCAACTCCACAGGGACAAAGCTTCTGTATGTAAAATCCTCACATAGTTTGCCCTATGTATTTCTTGATCTCACTATTCATCTGAATCCTTTGTCACCTCTGTCAAACTAGTAAACATGTTTCCTTAAATTCTGTGAGCTGCTCATATTTCTTACTACAAATCACAACATCCCTGTGCCCTAATACGACATCTAGCGCCTTCCAGATGATTGCTGCCATGCCATCTAAAGAACTAACCATGGCTAAATTCTGGGGTCAGGGTTAGTTAGCATTTTTTCACAAGTGTGTACTGCTGTGATTTTATTATCACTGTTAAAATTTAAACCCCAGAAGGGGATCCCTGAAGTCTCTGATCTACAGCATCTTGGTTAGAAGCACAGGCGGAAACCTGGCTTTCAACTGGCTGCCAAAATGGGGAGAGGCGAGGGAGAGGAGAGCTCTCTCATGTGACAGGGCCCTCAACCTGTGGGATGTGATGCCATCAGTGGGTAGTGTCATAATTGTGTTAAATTGTGTTAAATTGTAAAGAACTACAACACACCAGAAGTGTTAGAAGCTAAGTGTCTTGTGTGAAAGGAAACACACGCGAGGGGGAAAACTGAGGTTTTCCGTTCACCACAGTGATATTATTTATTCTGAATTTTGACTCTGGCTAATTCCACTTGGAGTCACGCCAGGTTGGCTGCAGACTAGAGGCTTCAACCCCTCCTTGAGGCTGATGAATTTGCTGGAGCATCTTACACTACTCACGGAAACATTTTACTGACTAAATTGCCAGTTTTTTAATAAAAGTATGTAATTCAGGAACAGGCAGATAGAAGCAGTGCAAAAGACAAGATATAAAGCCAAGGCTCACAGTGTCCTACCCCTTGTGGTTTTTCCAGAGGCTTCATTACAGAGGCAGGATTAATTAAATCATAGCCATTGATGATGGATTCAACCTCCAGCTGCTTTCCCTTTTCCCAGAAGTCAGAGGGTGGGACTGAAAGTTCCAACCCTCTAATTACCTGTAGAGCCCCCAGCCAACCAGCCCCCATCCTTAGGTGTGTCCCCCAAATCACCTCATTGCTGTAGCAAAAGACACCTTAGAAGCTCTCAGCACTTAGAAAATTCTAAGGGTTTAGAAACTCAGTGAGAAATAGGGTTGAAGACCAAATACTATTTCTTACTACAAATCACAACATCCCTGTGCCCTAATATGACACCAACCGCCTTCCAGATGATTGCTGCCATGCCATCTAAAGATCTAACCATGGTTAAATTCTGGGGTCAGGGTTAGTTAGCATTTAGTCTGCAAGTGTGTACTGCTGTGATTTTCTTATCACCATTAAAATACACTGAGCATTTATTAGGTGCAAAGTTCTGTGAATACACTACCTGTATTATTTCATATTGAGTTTTTACAAGCTTTTGAAGTGGCTATTAGTATGACCCCATTCTGCAGGTGAGAACACTGCAGCCTGAAGGAGCTGGCTGCTCCAGGACAGTGGCAGTGTGGGAACCCGGGTCTATTAACACAAATGTCCACATTTTTTAAAAAAACTGCAACTCCTAATCCCAAATTTACTTTGATTACTTTCTCTGCTTCACTCTTCCTATCTCATCATTTAATATATGTGTATATTTTGTATATCTGCCTCCCTAAGTGTCAGGTAAGCACCAGATGGACACACATCCGATTTTGTACATATTTCTCTGGCGACTAATATAGTGCCTGGGAGTACCAGACCCAGAAGATGTACCCAGTTAATATTTATTGATACCTTGTTCATGTGGATGATATTCAAGGAAAATTATAAGGCTATCTAGGAAAAAAATGCCAAGGAAAAAAGACAGCATCACCACAACTACTTGGCAAATGACTTCTCTCACTCTGTTGTTTATCTTAAAGACTCAAGTCTGGAAAGCTTCATTTTTTTTTTTTTTTTCCAGTGCTGGATGCTTTACACCTGCATTAAACTGATGAAATACAGAAGTGGAAAGGGGTATCCACATTCCTGCCCCAAGTGGAAAGGACACTGAAAATCCTTCTGAAAGCCAGGGGCAGCACATGCTCGCAGCTTGAGTCCATCACTCTGAGCCAGTGGCTAATCCAAGATTTAGCAGCTTTTTAAATAAGCAGCTCGGTGTAGTAATAAGTAGGATCATACCAGGGTAATGCCAGAAGTGGCATTATTCTGACAGGCTTCCTGGAATTAAGATATGTATCTTTTAAATCACATATTTTAAGTATTGGCTCTTTGGCACATAATTTAATTTGCAGTATGAATTTACAAACAGAGAAATATTGCAATGTTGAGTGCATTTTGGATGGTTATGCCATCTACAATAAAAATCCAAATTGTTCAATTATATTTAATTAAACGAGTGAAATTCTTAATTCAAATTTAATGAAGTTTATACTGCAGAGTGTAACTCTGACAAGATAAATACATTCTCTTCCTAACTGATGGCGATATTTGCTGGAAAAGGTAAATGCAGACAGAGTGGTAGGCCCCTCACTATCAGTGCCTGTGTCTTATTAACTGCACAATTTACCTTGTCATCAGGAAGCACATGCCAAATAGATATTGTCTTTTCCTCAACTTCATTGTTGATAGACAAGTATGAAGGCTGATAGATTTTGGTTGGTTCTAATATTAATACCTTGAAAACATAAGACAAATAAATGAGTTAGTGATTTAAATTTCAAATCATCGATTGCAGGTATAACAGCATAATACTCCTATGGCAGATTATGGGGTGATGCTATGGATACATTACAGGAGTAAAGGCATTTGCACTTCTGGCTGTTGCCATTCTTAAGAATTCTTTGAGCATTTTATGGTATTACATAATAATCAGAAGTTCCAATAGTACAGCACCTTTCTTGACTAAGAAACTGAAAATATATTTTTGAAGTCCATAAATTGGTTTGGCTATCTTCAGGGTATCTACTAGTAGAATACTTTTTTTTTTTTAAGATTTTATTTATTTATGCATACAGAACTGGGGTACAGGCCAGAGGTGCAGAGGCAGTGACAGGATCCACCAGAGGCGGAGTGGGGAGCAGAACAGGCAGATTGACTAAGTACACTGCTGAGGGGAACAGCAGGCAGGGGCGGGTCAGGAGAGGTCTGCCGCCATGTGGTCACCTCCAGGGATGGCAGGGATCTAAGGCATGTGGAAGTGGCTTTAACTTCCCAGTGCTGTGCCTTAACCCGCTGGGCCACCAGGGAGGGTCCCAAAAATTGCTTTTTAAAAGTAATTTTGTATCAAGGAAGTTTACCAAACAAAAGTGGAGGAGGAAAAACAAATCCTTTCAGAAGGCCCCATTTAACCAACCAACAATTATACATTCATGATGCCTTAGCACCTAAATTGCAGTCTGAGCAAGAAAGGGGGTTAGAAACTCACTCTTTGCCATTTATTATACCCAATGTATTTATTTTATGCTTAACTTACAGTGACAGTAAACTTATTCAAGTAAAAGCAGAGAAAATGAAGTTAAACTTAGAAAAGCAAAGCTTACTAGAGTAGGAAGAAGCTTACAGAATTTTGGTCAGGTTGTAACTATAAAAGTAATGTACCATAAATATATAGTAAAAGAGCCCTCACAGAAATATATTCTGATGCAGGAACATGCCAGGTGAATCAAGTCTAAATTCCAACCAAGAGAGAGTTAAGTGCTGATTGATAGTGAAAATCAGTTTTTGATCTAAACTTATAGAAACAGAGCTCTTGAGTCTCCAGAGTTTGTAAAATTAAAATGAATAATTGGGAAGAAAAGGTGAGCTTCCCCAAAGAACACCAAGTCACAGCACCAGGTTATCTTGTCTTAAATAGTTCTCCCAAATATTTCTAATAGATAAAATCTGAACTTTGTGTTCCTTTCAGATCCACTGCAGTTACCATTGTCTGATGGTTGTGGAGCCCTTTGGCCTGTCCTTTAAATGACAAAAATGTAAGGAATTTGTGGCATGCCTTATGGAGGGCCCAGAGAGATTGTGAAAGGACAAGGAAAAGGAGGCAAATTAAAGAGAACCAGTTAGCTAAAACTCACTTGAAAGTATACACATCCTTGCTTTTAGTTTCCAGTCTTTTATTTTGAGCAACATTACCATTAACCATTAACTTCGTATATCTGAGTCAGGAAGGAAGTCAGCAATGAATATAACCTATGAGGTGTGATATCAACTAGAGTCACAGACTTGAGCAATTAGTGGCTGCTAAGCCCATACTCCTCTGCTTCTCACTTGGTATGGGATGATGGTTTGATCGTCTCCTACTTTCCAAAGTGGGAAGGGAAGAAGATGTACACAGAAGAGAAATGAAGAAAAGGAATAAATCAAATAGAACTCAAATAATAATAAATGATAGGACCATTCAAGTAATTTCCCAAAGAAACTTCCATTTGCTTTCTTTTGCTCAGTATGCTAGCTGTTTCCTGAATGAGAATGAATTCGGTGCTGAGAAGAATGGAAGTAATCCTATCTATTGTCTTCTAAGTCATTCTGGTTTCAGTTACAGTTACTCTTAAAGAAGGGTAACTTTACTACCCTAATCAAGACCTACTGCAGATTTCAACAAAGATGAGTCATGTATGAAGCTACCCTAGGACAAACTTGTCTAAGTTTGTGACCGACAGCCCACAAGTTTGAGAAGCCTGCTTTTCTCTATGTGGGTGTAGCCTGGTGGCAAATTCCCTGGCTTCTGGGTATGGGCCTGCTGGAACAGGTAAATGAGTGAATCAGATGGATGAGAACTCTAATCACCATCTAAAGTGACAGCAGGTAGTGAATGGGGACAGTAGATTGTTGCATTTGAGAAATACAATCACAAATTTGCCAATCCCTTTAATTTTTCTAGAGCAAATGAAACTATTTTTATAGGAACGCCACCTGGCATTTTAATAAACTTTACTTTTCAGCTGAAATATTCTACTGGCTTCATCCATTTTGTCTTATCTTTTCCTCTCTTTTCTTTAAATAGCAATGTTCATTATCTGAAGTCCTTACTGCTACTCCAATATGGGGAAGAACCTCTGGGTCTGCCCAATTAGCCATTTTACATCTTCATCCGCTTTGATCCTATCAAGGCTTCATTTTACTCAGGCTTTGGTCTATGGTCAGGATGGGTCTATTTTAGTTCTGTCCTTACTCCTAAGGACATGAGTTTTCTTTGTCCCAACTAAATGTCCCACTGCAATCCATGCTTGCAGTGTTCAATATTTAAAGAAACATTTAAAGAACATTGCTATTTTAAGAAAATAGAGGAAAGGCTAGACAAAATGGATGAAACAGTAGAATATTTCAACTGAAAAATGAAGTTCATTAAAATGCCAACTGGCAAGTAATAAGAGTTTATATAAAAAAAGATTTTCATTTGCTCTAGAAAAATGTAAACCTTGTCACTTAGCTGGACCCAAAGCCCACATCTTATCCTTGTATTGTTTAAGACCTGAAATTTCTGTTTAGCTCTCAGCTTTCCAAAAGTTGCTCTCTGATACTTCTGATCCAGATATGAATAGCAAGGGAATTTAAGCCACTCAGACTGCAACCAAAACCCAATTTTAGTCAACTACTGGGACCTACCGTTGTGATTACTCATGACATGCCCACCCCCTGCTCTTACTACCTGGGAACTGCTCTGGAGTGAAGGGAAATATCCACGCAGCATGCTGGGATTCACTCTGAGGCCCCCTCCTTCTACAAAACCCTGCCCCTCATATTCAGCTACCTTCAAATTCATAGCAAAGTTAAGTAACTTGCTCAGGGGCATACAGCCAGCGAAAGGCAGAATGGGACAGAAATCACGCAGACTAGGTCTAAATTCACTGAATTGTCTGGACTCTCTATCTGTTGAATTCACATACAAAGAAACTATGGGAAAATATGTAAGGCACAGTAATAATGGTTTCCTGGAGAGATGTGGGACTGTGGTGGGAGATTTTTCCTATGTGCCTTTTACTGTTTTTTTTTTTTTTTTTTTTTTTATTTTTTGAACGTGGAACTGTTTTGCCCCATGGGAAAATTCAATTGTAATTATAAAATGAATATAAAACAAGACATTGTGCAGTCCAAATAAGATGAACTGTAGGCCGAATTTTCCTCATGAGAAAAGATTTTTGCAACCTCCATGCTAGAGCCAGGAGGTCTCCAGCATCTCAGGGAGGATTTCTGCGCTCTTAATGGAGAAGGCAAATATGTGTCTTAGCTCTTCTTTAGCAAGCACTGCGTCACTGTTCATCATTCTGCGTATAAAAACTTCTTGAGCCTATGTTCTCTGGATATCATTCTGAAATGCAAGGAAGGACACACAGGGGTATAGAAAAGCGGGTTCTGGTCCTCTCTGGTGTTGCAACGGGTTAGGACCAGCACTACAAGCTGGCCGCAGACACTTCAGTGTGAGTTAGGTCCCCTCCTTTGCTATTCAAGGGACCAGAACTAGCAATGGTTGCAATTCTTCATCAAAACCTTGGTATCATTTTTCCACAATACTATCATCTATACTGAGATTTTGTTTAATCCTCTGTGTTGTTTTTGTTATTTTTTTTAAAGCAACCCTTTTCTAGTTTGTTTTTTTATTTTAGCCTTTCTCAATCAAACATTTAAATATAAGAAAACATTCCAAAAGGATGATCTGAAAGCAACCGCCACTGAATTTAAAACTTCTTGGTAGATTTATATTTGAATTAGAGTAGTTAGGTTTTCTGGAATTAACACAAAATGAAGAAACTAGATAAGAAACCCAACTTCCTTCTTCTAGACTAAGAAGAGCTAGAATGCTGTACAATACTGCATTCTGCTTCACAGCAAACCACAAGATAACGACTTTTTACCCTAGCTATGGATGCTGACTGTGGAGTAATATTTAGAGATGAGTAGGAAAACACTCATTCTCACAAAAAGATACCCACAAAAAAAAGGTCACAAATTCTAAGAAGGAAATGGATTGCTTGGAAAAGAAACAATATGGCATAAATGTGTTTGCAAGATGATAACTATAGATCTCATGCAATTTTATTAGTGGTTGCATGATATTCTAAGGTGACTATGCTATTATAAGCTGAATCATTCCCTCATGAGTAAACACTGATTGTTAGTGTTTTCTTCTATACAAAGGTGCCAATAAACACTGGTGGTGTTTCTGGAGAATAAAATCATTCCTATAAATCGGATTGTTGGCTGCATATATATATATTTCAGTTTTACTAGATACCGTGAGGTTACTTTCTTAATGTTCCTTTAAAAATTAAAGTATATAGAATAATCTAGCAACTATATGCCTAGTATTAATATACTGTATTAATAGGCTGTCATCTCTGCTTTAGAACTTCTTTCAAATAAGGGAAGTATTACAAATAAAGCTGAGGTTCCCATGGTGCCTTATACAATGCCCTTGCCCTGCTACTGAGATGATGTTCCAGAAGATGTAGCCATTCCCAGGCACAGTCACAATCTCTAAAAATGCCATGACCCTACAACTTTGTCAAGGAGTTATAAAACACAAATTTTTATTAAGTGTGCAAAAGACTGAACTCATATTAACTTACATTTTCTTGACTATCTAGGGAAGTCAATTATTTTTCAAGTGTTTTGCCCATTTTTTTTTTCAATTACCAGTTTGTAAGGGTATTTTTTTTTTTTTGATATTTGGCAAACTGATAATTTCATAGCATTTATATCAAATATTCTGTCTAGCATTTGCCACATTTATGGTGTATTTTACTAAATAAAAATTTGAATTTTGGGCTCTCCCTGGTGGCGCAGCGGGTTGAAGCATGGCACTGAGAAGTTAAGGCCACTTCCACCTGAGTTCGATTACCGCCTGCCCCGGAGGTGACCACATGGCGTGGTAGACCTCTCCTGGCCTGCCCGCTGCTCCCCTCAGCAGTGTACTTCGTAGATCTTCCTGTTCTGCTCCCCACTCTGTCTCTGGTGGGGCCTCTTGCTGCCCTTGAGCCTTTGGCCTGTACCCCAGTTCTGTATGAACAAATAAATCTTAAAAAAAAAAATTGGATTTTGAAGTGAAATCAAATGGCTAAATATTTGCTATTAGGGATTAATAGTTTTTTTTTTCTTGCACAGTAAAGCCTCTTTAACCTGGAATATATACCTATGCTGTTCTAATCTCTCTCAATATGCTCTGATTTTTTTCATATTTATTTACTTGCATTATGACAGCATAATGCAAATCATAAATGAATTTAAATGAATTCAAAATAGCCAATATAAATGATATCTTTTCATAGCCAGTTTTCCAGTTAATCAAGTCAATGTCCAATTAACTGCTTCAGTTCTGTGCTGTGTCTTATTTCACCAGCATATTTATTCCACACAGAGCGCCAGCTAAAGGCAGCTGCCAGCTCATTCTGTGATAAGTATTTTACTAGGCTACACATTATCCAAGCTAGAAAATAAAGTGAAGTGTTTAGTTTAAGAGGCTTTTCAACTAAAGATCCTGCTGAACTCAAGGTTTCATGTAGAAACAAGAGTAAAGATAGCATGTTAATGCCAGCAAATGAATTTATTTAAATAAAACAGATGATCCTATCTACAAGACCTAGAAAACAAGGAATTGAGAATTGTCACCAGTTCTAAGGATGGAAGACTGAGATTAGAGAACCTTGAGAGAATTATGGCATGATTTTAGAATGTGGGAAGAGATTTGTGCAAAGTTGAGTTGCCAGTAATTCTTGAATTAAATGCCAGAGCTACACTGCTTTGCATGGTATTCTGATCACTATCAGGATACAGATGGCACCAGCTTCAACAAGTGAAGTATATTTAAAAGTGTGTGTGTGTATTCTTATAGAGACTGGTCCAAATGAATTGCACCCAGAACCTAAAAACCATTGTTCCACGACCTAAAGCATTGCAACAGTGGGTGAGGAGACTAAATCTCATTCTGACCTACACGGTCTGCAAGCAGTAGAGACAGAATAACAATAACTAATAACTAAAGTTTTCACCACCATAATGGTGATGCTATTGATGACACTATCCACAAACTGATGCATGAATCAAAATGCACCCATCTGTCTGGTCTGAAGACATATACTGACTTACTGAATAAATTAAATTAAGAGACAGTCTTGTTTTGAGAAAAGTACACTTTACAGCTTATCAAAAAAAAAAAAAAAGAAAGAAAGAAAGAAAGAGAAGAAAAACACCCAATTTCCATGGCAGAAGCAGAAATGGATCTCCTTTGTTCTGATTTTGAGAAGTTATTTTACAAAGTAAGCTAAAGCAAACTCATTGGCAGAAAATATATTAACCAGAAGACCATCTTTTTAGGGCATGAAATCAGCACATTACTATGACTATAACACGATGAAAGATGCTCTTTGAGTAAAAGAAACCAAATAGAAATGTACTCAGAGATAAGTCAAAGGAAGGACACTCACTGGAAACCTAACCACAGTAACATCTGTCTTGGTGGCCTCGACCAGGAAGTCCATCCAGAAATCCACAAGCTCCTGTTTGACCATAGGTTGGTCTGCAGTCAGCTTCACAAAATGCTTGTATATCAAAATTGTCTCCACAATAGATTTGAGGTACCTAAAATTAAAAATACACAGTATAAATAAAATAAAATATACACAGACAAGGCTAGAACTGCCTGTTCCCATGCACTTGTTTAAATATGACATCAAGTACACATTCGGAGTCACTGAATCTTGTTCACTACACTAGATCCTGCACTTTCACACATCACCCTTTAAGTCCCACCAAAATTCAATAACACAGGCTGTTGTATCCATTTGAAAGATGAAAAATCTGAGGCTTCAAGGAATGAAGGATAGATCCACTTGAAACATGACTTTATAGTAACGTCTATATTTGATTCAAGGACATGTCTAAAGCATTTGTTTTTAAATATACCTCCAGGAGAAAGTTTTTCTAAATAGACTCTGCCTAAGAACATTATTTTGCTCTGAAGCAACTCAGTTTACATATTTTACAAATATCCTCAAATCTGATAGGACAGATGAAGCCGCAAAGAAAACGATAGGAAAAAATGAAAAGCAAGATGATTATACAAGGAAATGGGGGCAAGTACTTTGTAAACCATCACCATGGAAGGTCACAATAAATTAATGGAATGTAAGGCACTGTTTTGTGGTTGTTACTACTTTAAATAGAATGATGTCTGTTTTCCTGTTCATAGAAAGCTAGGACAAAGCTCTTTGTACCTACACTTCATCTCCTCTTCTCCCATCAGAATGTTCATCATAAAGAAACAGCAAAAGTGGCTGCATGTAGTACTGCATCTATTTGTTTAAACTTCATGTCCCTGCAGAATGCCTGTAGGGACAATGTACTGACAGAACAGTGCTGGTGTCAATTTGTTCACAGTGCTAAGGGTATTATAACCCATGAAATAAATATCGGTGGAGCTATCACTAAGCGGAGAGATTGTTAAGTCGTACAGTCAATCCTAATAGAAAGATAGCTTAAGAAAACATAACAAATCCCAGAAAACATAAAGATGTATCCAGAGGATGAAAAGTACACATTGATGTGTTATATGCAACAAGATCCATGATGTTCTATCTGGGTGTGGGGAAGGGTTGAAAGGCAGAGTCTGATTTACGAGCAGACGTGATTCAGGGGTGTTTCCCAGATGGAGAGATGGATAGAGCACTAGCTAGGGCATTCTCTGCACGTGCTAGGGTAGACACTAGAAGCCACTGTGTGGCATGTGAGATATGAATAGAGAAGAGTAAATCACAGAGCTGACAAGAACTAAGGCTGGAATGACTAAGGTACGTAGCGTTGCCTGCCAGGCAAAAGAGGTGGCTTTTACCCCTAGGCTGTGAGGGCCCATTAAGCTGTACTGATTTGAAGATTTCATTGGAGTAGGGAAGAACCAGCGAGTCATTTTAGAAAGATCAGTCAGGTGATACTGGACAGGATTTGCTAAACAAGCAATGTGATCAGGAAGCCAAGAGGTGTACTGCAGTGATCTCCATGGTTCCTCTGATGAAACCGTGTAGGTAACTAAGAAATCAAGGAATTAAAACTGATCAAGGGAATACGCAAAATGGAATCAGGAGGCCACTGGGACTATAACTTAGGCACATCTACGGCGTCTGTGCGCTTGGTCACTTGGATTTACAATTGTGCCCAACACCCTCAGTAAAATTACATCAAACACTGGGAATTTGGGGAATTTGCAGAGACGAAGGGGCCCACTCCTGGAGGTGGACGCACGCCACTGGACCTCAGTGTGTGAGAGGACACGCTTCACTGCGCTGACGGCAGGAACCCTTCCTTGCACTTTTTCCTTTCTCCCTTTTAAATAATTATTTAGCTTATCTATAGGTTATGTAATTATTTAGTTTACCTATAGATTATGTAAGTCCTGCATTTCCCCCCACATCAGACTGCTGACATGGCTTTGCCATGTTGTCTAGATTATAATCCCATAAAGAACCCAAATTAAATCTTTGTTGTCACTGACAGATTGATCTGGGCAGGGTCAATAAAAACAAGTCAGTGCTTTGCACTCTGAGCTGCTCTGAATCTTTCACAAAATCACGGCGTGACTTACAAAGGCGGATGGCTGCCCTTTCTAGGTGGTGGGGGTTAAATCAGCACTGTATTCCAAAGTAGTTTAAAATGCTGACGGAATTGTGTTTTCATTCTCCCATTACTTAATGATGAGTCTGGGGCGCATTCCAAGAAGAGATTGAAATTAGAAAAACACACATATCTGAGAAATACCCAACATGTCAGTCAAACCTCAAGTCAAAAGAAGTGAAGCTCAAGAACAAGAATTCCACAGAGGGTGGCAAAGGAGACAGTGGGTATGCATTTGGACCAGAGGCCTGAGAGGCTCTGGGAGGCTGAGACAAAAACTTGTGGCTCTGCTGAGTGGAACTGAAGGTCTAAAATGTGAGACCAGCTTGATTCTGGTCAGTAGCGCCGCCCAGTGAAGCAAGTGGCTGGTCAATGAAAGCTTCAGCCAGTGCTCAGCGTGTATCACCTAAGTCCAAAGTCAGCAGGACTTATATTTAACACAGTTTATTTATGGATACTACTATTCCCTGTCGAGTCTGCACACTATTCTATTTGTAGATAAAATGATAAAATATCTACTTGTCAGTTTAATAATTACAAACATTTGGAAACAAGTGATAGATGTGTTCACTAAACTGTACAAACATACAGCCGTTTATTATTACCATGCAGGTGTCTTCAGTTTAAAAAGCTTTTCAGATGCTTGAATGACTCTCATGTGGTCATTGGCCAGAACACTGGCCCCCAGAAAAAAGCCAACTTCCCAGTAGCTCTGGAGCTTCTCCAAGTTTCCCTTTTTCCCAAGAAGGCTACTTAGCTTCACCCCTAGAAGATGGACAGGAAGTACAATGTTACAAATACATAGCAGGCAGAGCTGACTTTTTCATTAAAATTTAAAATTAGCTTTTCAACCCTCATTTCACATTAAAATAACACTGTTAAATTTCCATAAAAAAATAAGTCTGAGGCCCTCCCTGGTGGCACAGCGGGTTAAAGCACAGCACTAAGAAGCTTAAGCCACTTCTGCATGAGTTCGATCCCCGCCTGCCCCAGAGGTGATCCACATGGCGAGGCAGACCTCTCCTGACCCGCCCGCTGCTCCCCTCAGCAGTGTACTTCATTGATCTGCCTGCTCTGCTCCTCACTCTGTCTCTCGTGAATCCTCTCACCCTCCACATCTCCAGAACTGTACCCCAGTTCTGTATGAATAAATAAATAAATCTTTTAAAAAAAATAAGTCTGATTAATTAAAAAGGGACACAGAAGAAAGTAAAAATTTCCCTTTAATTTGAAAACCTAAAGATAATAGCCACTGTGACTTTCTTTGATATTAGCATTTCAGAATTTTTATGTATTTTTGTATATGCAAAAATTAAAAGCTGTTTCACAATAAATACCTTATTATATAACCTCCCCCATTATTATATTGCAGATACTTTAGATAATTAAAAAAGAAATAGGCTTAAATTCAGCTGAAACACAAATGTTGCAGTATATGTACTTCAAGAGTAAAACATGACAGTTATTTTATATGCATGACAGTTATTATAAAGTTAAGTAAGAAAAGTAACAGATAACATTGTCCTGATAACGGTTTTGTTACAAGACTTGAAATTGGAACATATAAAGCCTCCAACTTTGATCTTTGCAATTGTCTTGTTTCTTCCTTTTCACTGCCTTATATATACATCTTTTGCACTTGTAAGTATTTGTTTAAAAAAGAATATATTCCCAGAGAATTGTTTAGTGCCACTAACAGCCACCACACTGAACAGTCAGGAAAAAATATAAGTTTTGGGAATAAGTTAAAAAGGTGGGACATGCTATTTCACTGCCATATGTGCACAGAAGGTGACTCTAGGGCTGTGTAGGGGACATACTGTAGCTAATTCAGCTATTATTACTGTTTAATAAAACCTTAGGCTTAGAGAAGTCTATCTGTTTACATGGAGGGCTCTTCCCCTAGCCATGGGCTGGCTCACTCATGAGGGGACTGCCCCTTCCTGCCCAGGTGGGTCCACTACAGCCGTGCTGTCCCTCTCCCAGGACCTCACCCTGGGAATGGGGACTAGATGTTCTGGGGAGCTTGAGAGGACAGCCCAGGGACCCTGGGGACCAGTGACTTTGGGTCCCAGGTATCCCATAGTGGCCACTCCTTCTGTTCATCAACCAGGAGGACCCAAGGGAAGTTCCAGAGGCCTGGGTCTACTTGTAGGTTTCAGTAAAGATACAAATAACATCTGTCCAGTTAAACCATCCCTAAGATTTATGACCTGTTAGACCTATTTGGTTATTTTTTATTTTTAAAGATTTATTTATTTATGCTTACAGGACTGGGGTATAGGCCAGAGGTGTGAGGGTGAGAGGATTCATCAGAGACAGAATGGGGAACAGAACAGGCAGATCCACTGAAATACACTGCTGCGGAGAGGAGCAGGTGAGTCAGGAGAGATCTGCTGTACCATGTGGGTCACCTCCCTGGCTGGGGATTGAACTGGTGCTTTGGAGAGCAGCATAATTCGGTGTTTTAACCTGCTGCACCAGGGAGAACCCCCATTTGGATATTTTTAATCAAATCCGGAAAACCTCTACTAGTATTTCTTTGTTAAGTTCTCTGATTATATTAGCTTATTTAGTGTTCTTTGAATTAGATATAGCCTCTCACTGTAAACAACAGTGTGTCCATTTTATATTCCTGAGAGTTACAAGCATATAATTCCTGACAATTATATCTTAACAAAACAAAATAACTTTAAGAACCTTTCTGTTGTTTTTTAGTCATGTATTAGGTCATAGATATGTTGTGGTAAGTTAATAGGGAAGTAACGAGAGCCACACCCTCCTATCAGGACATAATGAAAAACATGACAACTATAAAGGAAGAAGAAAACGCAGTGAAAATGAGACACTGAAAACCTGAGAACCTGTCAACCTGAGTGGCAAATGAACATTCCCTTACGGGGTCAGACTTGGAGAAAAATGATCCAGAACTGGTTTAGGAGGAAATCAAAATGTTAAACTCTGAAATAGGGACTATGGAAGTGTTTAATAGTAATATTAAAATATTCATTTTAAAAATTATTATATTTGTTTATTTTTACATATTTTGGTGCATTTTTCCATCTCAGTTAAAATAATATTAATTTTTAAATGAATATTTCCTACAATTATCATTGTACATAAACAATCACATTTTAATAATTGAGCCCTATGGATTTAAAGTTTTAGAAATGTTGCAGCCTGGAACCAAGTATAATGTTGCTTTCGAGATTACCATATGGAGGTAATCCTAAATATGGAACAGATCTTATGTCCTAACATGTACTTGCTCTTCTATTCTTTTAGGGGAGTAGATATGGAGGACGAAAGAGAAAGGAGGGTAGGAAGAGAGAGGGAGGGAGAGAGAGAGAGAAAGAGAGAGAGAGAGAGAGAGAGAGAGAGAGAAAGAAAGGGAATACTATTCTATTCTATTACTGCACCTAACAAAAATACTTCCCTCATGTAATATCTCATCCTGATGTACATTTCTTAGTTGTTCCTCAAGTGTCTTTCCCCCCAGCAAATTCAACCAAGGATTAGGAATTGCACTGGTTTCTTATGTCTCTAAACTATGTCTTTACTTTTTAAAAAGATTTATTTATTTATGAATATAGAACTGGAGTACAGACCAGAAGAGTGGTGGGTGAGAGGATTCTCCAGAAACAGAGCAGGGAGCAGAACAGGCAGACAGATGAAGTACACTGCTGAGGGGAGCTGCGAGCAGGTCAGGAGAGGTCTGCCATGGCATATGGGTCACCTCTGGGGCCGGGGATCAAACTCGAGCTGCAGTGACTGCAATAGCTTCACAGAGCTGTGCTTTAGTCCGTGGTGCCACAAGGGAGGGTCCTCTAAACTAGTTCTTTTAATCTAACCAATCCACACACACATTTTGCCCAGGACGTCGATCTTTTGAAGAGACCAGCAGGGCTGTCTAGCAAGTCCTTACACTGTGGACCTAAAAGTGCTTTGTAGGGTTGGCATGCAGTGGTCCCTAGCCACTGTGATTCTTGCTAACTAAACATTAGAGCTGAAGATTTGGGTTAAACATTTTGGGGAGAATATGTCACAGGAGCTGTTACTTACTCATGTCTAACAAAGGGAGGTAAGGTTGAGTCTTCTCACCATCAGGAATGCTAGCTGGATCACTGACATCTGGATCCCAGTAGGGAATATTTACAAATAATTGTGTGGGCACATTTGTTCCTTAGTGACTAACAAAACATCTGTGATTAAGCTTTGGCACCATGTAAATATGGTAAGTAAATGAAAAACAACTAGGTCTCACTTAATGATTTTAATTTTAATTGATGATCCTTGCTAGAATCATTATATCAACATCACTGTCAATATCAGTTTTAGCATCTCATCTACTTTATTAGCTTGAATTTGCTTGAAAAATAGATCTTCCTGAAGCACAATACACTTAATATGTAGCATTCACTAAGAACTTTACCCCAGCAAGTGGATAAATTATAGTACCTCTTAAAAAGAAGGGAACATAGTTAATTTCCTCCCTAAAATTTTCAATTTTGTAAGAAATTGATCACCTCTGATGCTCTCTGATTGGTGGTGGATTTTATTTTTCTTTTGATTTTGTCTTCTTTGTTATCTTTATAGACTCCTGGACATTTATATTCAGTAATAAAATTTTTATTTTTATTGTTTCCTGAAAATGAGATTCAAAGAGTGGTTTGTCCCAATTCTAGTTCATGGTTCTTTTATTACATCGTCTTTACTGTTGGAGACCCCAACCTATAATTTTTATTTATTTTTTTATTCATACAAGAACAGGGGTATAGGTCAGAGATACGGTGTACATGCCCTCTGGGGAGCAGTGGAAAGATTCAGTAGAGAGAGAGCCGGGAGCAGAACAGGCAGATCTACTGAAATATACTGCTGAGGGGAGCCACGGGAGAGACAGGAGAGGTCTGCTGTGCCATGTGGGTCAGCTCATGATGCAATGGCTGTGGATAGTTTCATGGTGCTGAGACTTAACCATTTGCACCACCAGGGAGGTGGAGTTGGAGGTTGAATGCAGAGTCCATATTGCAAATATCAGTTTAAGCTGGAATAATAAATAGTAACCAGGGGTTTCTTAAAAACAAGTAAAATAAGTTAGAAGCTCTTACTTTTCAGTGTCAGGATTCTGCACTAAAGTATGTCAGGCTAAACAAGGATATAATTATTTTTTAATTTAAATGAGATAGAAAACAAAAAGGCTATCGGTGTTTCTTTTGCTTTGCACCAAGTTGGACACAATTACTTAATTTCCATGTAAATTCCCAAACTGTAATTACCAACTTTCCGGAGCTCAAAGGAAGATTCAAACTGGTGCCCAGCTGCCAGCAGGAGGACAGCGTAATTAATTCCTGACTGTAGTGTTGGCTCAGATTCAAATGCCTTTTTGAACCTATAAAGAAAAAGCAAATGTACACGTTTACTTTCTCAATCTTGAAACCCTGAGTGTGCAATAGCTTCTGTTTGCATAACTCCAATGCCTGAGCGAATAAAAATATTCCACTGGCCTTTACTCCAGAATCTGATGTGCTATTAGGATTTAATGCTTAAGTAGCTGCATGTTCTCACCCTCAGCTTCACAGCATTCTCCACTTAACTCACCCTACTAAGGTAGGTGTGGCTAAGAAAGCTTTAGTCTTCCACAAAAGCATCTCTTAACAGTCTATCAGGAGAGGGGAGAGAGAGAAGATATATAAACTGAAGAATTAAAAAATGAAAAAACTGCACATATTTTTGATCGTGGCTTTTAAAAAGCCTTAAAAGTATACAAAGCGGCCCTCCCTGGTGGCGCAGTGGGTTAAAGCACAGCACTAAGAAGCTTAAGCCACTTCCGCATGAGCTCGATCCCCTCCTGCCCCGGAGGTGACCACATGGCGTGGCAGACCTCTCCTGACCCATCCGCTGCTCCCCTCAGCAGTGTACTTCGTCGATCTGCCTGTTCTGCTCCCCGCTCTGTCTCTGGTGAATCCTCTCACCCTCCACATCTCTGGCCTGTACCCCAATTCTGTACGAATAAATAAATAAATCTTAAAAAAAAAAAGTATACAAAGCAATGAGGCTCATTTGGGTAACATACTGAAACTGGTTCCAAATGGATATAGAAATAAAATGCTGAATGCTAATTGTACTAAGAAATTAAGAAAAGACACATCTGCACATACTAATTTTGGGTCAAAGAGAATAAGAGCTCTTTTCTGTATGTGCATGTCATGAGTATCAACCTTTGAAAACACTTCACCTTTTGAAAAGACGTGTGTTTGCACACTAATTGCATTTTTAAGGTAACACTTCCTGGAACTCGTTCAAGGATTTCCTCACATAACATCATTTAATACATGAGAAAATTCAACAATATTTCTCTTGGGGTCATGAAGAAGAGGATATTTAAAACAATTGCCCCCGTAACCAGTAGAAACTGCCTGAGACCAATATGAAAAATGAAGACTTTACTTAAAAAAAATCAGAAGAAAATATAAATACTAAGTACTGAATGATCATCTGATGAGACAAAAAAAGATTAAGTAGGGAGAAATACATTACAATTCCATAGTAAAGACATTCTTCTTTAAATCGTTAATGGGGTAAGAGGCACAGCAAAGAGTAGCAGGCACACTGGTGAACAGCACAGTGTATTTTTGCTGTTATACATGCTTGAAATTTTTTATGACTTAAACTTATGTTATTCTTCAAAAAAACAAAAAATGTTTTTCGGAATAATGAGGATCACGTGCCCCTTTTAAGGATCTTACTTTTTAAATAGAACACAGGTTCCTGATTAGAAACAGAAGTCAGATAAATACTAATCTTAACGACTTGGCTTAAATAGTTACGTGTGTGGAATAAGGAAACAAAAAATTTCCAACTGTATCATTGTTGGTGATTTAAAAGTATTTTTATCACTCTTAATGTACAGGTGTTTCCCTATTCTAAAATCTACCCCAGACTCCTGATGTTCAAAGCCAGTCATAACAAGGACAGACAAGATTTATATCTTCTAGGCTCATAATTTCTAAAGGTCTTTGTGTTTATTCAACGGCACGTAGGAGGTCCCAATAAGAAAGAGTGTAGAGGAAATAGTACATTTCCTTCCTACTAATGTACATTAAATGATGAAATTTTTTCAACAACTATATTCTTTCATCTTCCCTGAAACCAAAGAACATGAAATATTTCTCTTGAAGGTATTAAGAATATGCAAAAAGGAACACACTCAAATCAGTCAGTCAGTATGGAACTGAACACTTCTTATGTGCCCAAACCAGCCACAATGGAAAGTTGCATATCTATTTTTCTGTTACCATAAATATTTTATGTTTCTATTTTAACCAAGATATAAATACCAGTAAAATGAATAATTGATATTTTTGTAGGACTCAAAGCACTCCATGACAATATGTTGTGTGGAGGAAAAGTCAACATTTTCTGGGGATTAAAATAACAAGCAGATCTATCACAAAGGAAATAAAATCCTGCCATAAATTATTAATATGCCACCCACAAGAAGAGAGAATTCTCATATATTGTAAAAGCAAATCAGTACAACACTTCTTGGCAGAAATTTACCAATACCTATCAAAATTATAAAACCTTAAAAAAGACCCAACTATTCATATCTGCTGATGCAATTACACATCTACAAATTTATACTAAGAAAAAACATTAAACATGCAATCAGAAATTTAGTTATGAGGATATGTAACAAGAGGTACTTAAGTTTCCAATAACATTACAGAGTACAACATAGAATGAAATGCATTCCAAATGTTCAAAAACAATATAGTTATTTCAGTAGTAGACAAATACTCAATGCTTGTTTCTAAGAAAGACACAGTAGTCTACTTGGAAGCCATTGCTTCTGCTACAACCACCAGGGGGAAAGAATACAAAACCAAAACATTTTTATGGACATTGGAGCTCCACAGAAGCGCTGCCATCACGACAAAGCAATGAAATATAACCCCAGAGAGGAAAACATCCTTCCAATGTAAGCGAAATTGCTTTTATCAATTAGTGAGGCATTTGCTGATTGTGATCATAAAAGATTAAGCTTGGACTTGGCATAAGCAGAGAAACTCTACCTATTTGAAACTCTACCAGGAAAAGAGAAACTAGTGGATTTCCTGATAGTTATGTGGGTTGGCATGGCAGAGTGAAGCCAGCAGTCACCCCAAACATGTAGTCAGGGCAGCAGTTGAATGCCGGTGGTACAGGAGGCAGTGGGAGGAGGTGAGGCTGAGACAGCAGAGTGAAATTTCTGTCACCAGAGATTTATGTGTCTTGTTAATGAGATCATAAACAAGAGAGCAAAAACAGGTAAGAGATGCTGACTCACAAATACTTCAGCTGCTGGTATATACAGACCTGACTTTAAAACAAAAATTACAAATACAGTAAAGAAAGTAAGAAAAAGATGGGCAAATGGATGAAAAGGTATACTATTTAAGAGTCAAAATCTAAAAAACTGATTTGATTCAAATAAATAAAATCAAATAATCAAACTAAAATATGAAATACCTGAAAATAAGGATTTATTGTCTGGGTTTAACAGTGAACCAGAGTATAAGACAACTTGATGAACTAAAAATTGGTAAATGAAAAATATTTAAACTGACAGAGAGGGGAATAAAGAGGGTAAAGTAACAACAAAACACAAGAACAAGAAGGATTTAGTTGAATGGTTTAGCACTACGTGACTATAGCTCCAGAAAAGGAAGAGGGACAATATGGGTTATAAGAAACATCTGAAACTTACTAGCCAAAAAATTCCAAAACTGATGGAAAATATAACCACAGATTCAGAAAACTCAGCAAGTCTCAAGTAGAATAAAATAATCGCAGACTAAATGTTTTGAAACTAAAAACACAGGAAAATCTTAAAATTGGCCAGAGGGAAAAGATGCATTTCCTTCAAAAGAGCAATAAAATCAACTGTTGACTTTGCAATACAAATTGGTAACCCAGAAGACACCATAATGAAATCTTTAAAATGATTTTTAAAAAAAAGTTGTAAGAAAGATGTTTTCAAATGAGCTAAAATTAGAATGAGTTACCCTCAGGTTTATACTAAGAAAATTGTAGATAAACTCAATCTTCTAAATCTACTCATCTGTCTGTCATTGGGCCCTTAGGTTGTTTCCATACTTTGACTCTTGTAAATAGTGCTGCATTGTACAGAGGAGCACAGATATTCTTTGAAATTATTGTCTTTTCATTATTTGGGTAGATATTTAAGAATGGGATTGCTCTATCAAACAGCAGACTGGTCCAGCCCCTGTGAAAAGTAGTATGGGATTTTCTCAGAATAATAGCATTGTATTTATCATCTTATTCAAACTGGTTCTAATAGAGGTAAGTACTTGATGGAGTGGTGAAGTCTTTATAACAACAACTTGGTTCTCTTTTTGCATTTGCATTGAAATGTTAAAAAAATCAATAGTAAAGGAAATATTCCTGAATTGATTATCTTTAGCTAAAGAGCATGCAGCCACTCTCCATTAAAAGAGAAAATGAGCTCAAGTCAAATTCTTTCTATTTAGCTGTCACTTTTCCTTCTTTGTGATATATCAGTTGGACTCTTCCTGTGAGACATGCAAGTAATTAAATTAGAATTTCATGGTGTTTACATCTCTAGGGATATTTCTGAAATTATCATTCATAAAAATATTCAGAAACAAAGCAGAACAACATGAGGAAAAAGGAGTGACAAATCATTCTGTTGATTTGATCTGGAGATGACAGGCTCTCTTTAATTCAACCAACTAGTTTGTACATAATCCCTATTAAAACAGAAAAATCAGGAAGAAAATAAAAGAACCCCTTTTACTATTCACATTCTTCCTCTGAAAATTGTGCTACTTTTTTAAAACTCAATTTTCTTCTGGGTAGACAGCCAAAAAATCGGAAAACTAGGAAACTTAAAAAGACATTTATATATCAATGTTCACAACAGTCTGCTACAAAAAAGGAAAAATAACACTAATTCCCACTTGTACAAAGTATGTAGAACAGTCATATTCTTAGAGACAGAAAGTATAATGGTGGCTGCCACGCCACAGCAGGAGTGGAGAATCGGAAGTGGCTTGACAGGTAGAGAGTTTGAATTTTGCAAGATGATGAGAATTATGATTGGCTAGTGGTGATGGCAACAATGTGAATGTACTTAATGCCAGGGAATTATATTATTTAAAAGAGCTAAAATGCTAACTTTTACTCTATAGATAATTTACCATCAAAAAGAATTTTAAAACTCTTCCATCAGATGAAAGACTATTATTCAATCACATAGGCCCCAAATTTTGGGCATTTAGGTTTTTTCCTTTAAGTTTTTGGTTTTCTTCTTCTTCTTCTTTTTTATTTTAACTAGTGTAATCAATGATTTCTTTCAGAGAGTTT